TTCCAACCTGTCTGAGTCCTTTCACCTCCCTTCCTTCCGATGGCAGTTCCCTGACATCCACCTCCCCTCCAGGGCCCCCTTCCCCCCCTCTCGACCCCTCCGCTATGGGCGGTGAGGAGGCCAACCCCGGAATGAACTTCCTTCATCTTCCGATGTCTCGAACACTTCTCTCCACCTGTTGCGGTTCCTGGTCTCAAGCACTCCTCCTCCTCCGAGTCCATCTCCCCCCCTTCCGATCTGGGAATCCTTCCAACTCCTCCTCCTCCTCAGTGGTCCCAAAGTATTCCCTCCGGAACCTCTCCACAGGCTGAGGTTTCCGCGGGAACTTTGATGGAACATTTCTATCAATACCTCGTCATTGATATCTTTGGCCATTACCCACGTGTTTTCTGACTCCGGTTCTCCTTCCCACGCTACCAAATACTCCACCTGATTCCCCTTCCACCTGGCATCAAGGATTTCTGCCACATGACTGCTGCATTCTCTTTCTTCTATGACCGGTCCCCGAGTGTCCATCCCTCTCGTCCCCCCTCGTACGGTGACAGTAACGACCTGTGAAATACTGGGTGCAGTTTCATGTGGTTGGGTAACCGGAGCCTGAAAGCCACTGGGTTGACCTGTTGAATGACCTCAAAGGGACCCAACCTCCTGGGTCGTAATTTCTTACAACCTCCTTTGAACGGCAACCCTCGGGTTGACAGCCACACCCTATCTCCAACCCTTATGGTTTCACCTTCCCTTCGGTTCTTGTCTGCCTGCCTCTTGTATTCTTCCTTCGCCCTTTCTAAGTTGAGTTGGAGCTGACGGTGGATTGCTTCCATTTCTTCTACAAAATGCTCGGCTGCCGGTACGCTCCATCTCTCCCCTTCTCCCCCTGGGAAAGCCCTGGGATGACACCCATAATTAGCCAAGAAGGGGCTCATCCCTGTGGACACATTCTCGGCATTGTTGTAGGCAAATTCCGCCAGCGCCAACTTTTCTACCCAGTCATTCTCTCTGTCATTGACATAACACCTCAGGTATTGCTGGAGGACACCGTTTGCTCTTTCCGCCTGCCCGTTGGTTTCAGGGTGCCGGGCAGTCGAAAAGTTGACCTCCACCTGCAGTAAGCTCATGAGCTTCCTCCAGAACCTGGAAGTAAATTGTTTTCCTCGGTCTGAGACCACCCTCAATGGCACCCCGTGCAACCTAAAAATGTGTTCTACAAATAACTTCGCTGTCTCTTCCGCCGTGACTGCATGCGAGCAAGCTACAAAGTGGCACATCTTTGTTAGTAGGTCTACCACCACCATGATGGCTGTTTTCCCTTTGGACTTCGGCAGATCAGTCATAAAATCTATCGACACTGCCTCCCAAGGTCGTTCTGGTGTTGGTAAGGGTTCTAACAGCCCCGCCGGCGCCCGCCTTTCCCTTTGGCTCGCTGGCACTGCTCGCACCCTCTTACATACTCACGTACATCCTCCTCACCTTAGGCCACCAAAATTCCCTGGTGACCAACCACATGGTTTTGTGTTGCCCAAAATGCCCCGCCGTGGGGCTGTCATGCAACGGCTTGAGTACCCTCTCCCCTTAAGTCTCCTTCAGGGATATACAGTGCCCCTTTGTAATACAAAGCTCCATTTCTTTCCTCGAAACCCCTTGATTCCTCTCCCTCATCCCTAAGACCTCTGAGCTTATTCTGGGCGTATTCATCATTCTCTGTTTCTTCTACCAGTTCTCTTTGTCCCACCAATGCCGCCCCACACACCCAGCGGTCCTCTGGAATGACATGTCTCTCTTCGGGTGCTCCTCCCCTCCCAATATTCAGGTTTGCGTGAGAGAGCGTCCGCCCTAATGTTCTCTGGGCCTGGCACGTAACAAATCTCAAAGTTAAATTTGGAGAATTCCTGGGCCCATCTCACTTGCCGTTGGTTGAGCACTCGTGCCGTCCTCCAATACTCTAGGTTCTTGTGGTCAGTGCACACTTGCACCTTATGTTGTGCGCCAATTAGCAGGTGCCTCCATCTCCGGAACGCCTCATGAATGGCTAGTAGTTCTCGGTCATACACCGTGTAGTTCCTCTCGGATTTGTTCAGCTTTCGCGAAAAAAGCACACGGTCTCCACTCTGACTCCTCCTTCCCTGGCTGGAGAAGCACCGCCCCAACCGCTCTGTCTGATGCGTCAGTTTCCACTCTCATCGGTTTTTGTAAATCCACATGCAGGAGCTGTTGTTCCGAGGCGAAGGCCCTTTTAGTTCCTCAAATGCTTGCTCCGCCTCCTCCGTCCAAACGAACTTCTTCTTACTGCTGAGACAGTCCGTAATGGGCGCCGTCAGGTGGGCAAAGTTTGGGATGAACTTACGATAGAAGTTCCCAAACCCTAAAAACCTCTGCACATCCTTCCTTGTTTTGGGTGTTTTCCATTCCAGTACCGCCTGGACCTTGCCGGGATCCATGGCCAACCCCTTGTCAGACAGGCGATACCCCAGGAATTCCACCTCCTTGGTATGAAACTGACACTTCTCCAGTTTCACCCACAGCAGGCTGGCTTGCAGCCTGCTCAACACTTCTCTGACGTCTCTCACATGCTGCTCCTCATTCTCAGAATACACCAACACGTCGTCTAAGAAGGCCACACAATTCTTGTAAAGCAACGGCCCCAGGACGTGGTTCATAAACGATTGAAATGTTGCGGAGCCTGCTTGTAGACCGAAGGGCATAACTAAGTATTCAAATGCCCCTAAAGGGGTGAACATGGTGGTTTTCCATTCATCCCCTTCCTTATTCGTATCAGGTTGTACGCCCCCCTTAGATCCAGCTTGGTGAAAATCTTTCCCTTCGCACCCTTGTCAAAATGTCGTCAATCCTGGGCATCGGGAAGGCCACTGGTTCTGACACTGCATTTAAGGCCCTGAAGTCACACACCAGTCTCGGCTTGTTCGTGTTTTTTTGTCCACAAAAACACTGGGCTGCCCCCACCGCCCTGGACTCTCTGATGAACCCTCTCTTCAGGTTCTTGTCAATGAACTCTCTTAGCTCCTGCATCTCTCTGTCTGACATGGCGTACAGCTTGCCCACAGGGAGCTGTGCCCCAGGGAGCAAATTGATTTGACAGTCAAAGGCTCTATGCGGTGGTAGTTGGTCAGCTTCCCTTTCGCTGAAGACGTCGCGGAGATCTGCGTATTGTCGTGGTACCTTCACGTTCTCCTTCACTTCAGTCCCTGCTAGGGTGGCTTGGGCCCCTGCCAAAACCGTCCCTCTTTGCAATGTTCTAAGCAATGTGCTGACCCAAAAGAAACCACTCTCTGATGCCAGCCCACCAGCGGATCATGTAACGCTAGCCAGCTCATCCCCAATATAATGGGAGCTCCTCCCAAGGTGGCCACATTAAAAGCTATCAGTTCAGTGTGCCTTGCCACCTTCATTATCATTGGGACGGTCTGCAAGCTGACTTCTCCTCCCAACAGCTCCCTGCCATCGATCGTGGTTACCTGCAGGGGGTTGCTTAAAGGGAGCGTCTGTATCTGGTGTTCAGCTGCAAACTCTTTGCTCATGAAATTGCAGGAGCTGCCTGAGTCCAACAGCGCCTTTATCTTTAGAGGGTGTCCGTTTGGGAGCTCTAGTGTCACTTCTATCACTAGGGCGGGTTTAGGAGGTTCTGGAGTGGGCACTTTCACTGCTCTTTGGCCTGGCTGCTGTGCTCCGACAATGGCAGCCAGGCGTTGGCTTTTAGTTGCTCCGGTATTTTTCCTCTCTTCCCTCCACAGCTCCCACCATCCCTTGCCATTCCTTCCTCTGGGGGCAGACTCTGGCAAAGTGCCCTGGCTGTTGGCAGAGATAGCATTTCCGGGCGCCTTTTCCATCCTTCTTTCCCCTCACTGGGCTTTGAAACTGCGCGCGCGCGCTGTTCCGATTTCCATCGGCTCTGCCGGCGGGACAGTTGGCTCTGGAATGTCTGGAATGCGGAACTCCTTCCAACGTTCCCCTTCCCTTCCCGCCTCTCCAATGCTCTCGCCTCCTGGCGCGCCTCCTATGGCCAGCGCTGATTTGGTCAGCTGGTCCATAGACTCCGCCCTGGGCGCCCGGGAAAGTTCATCTTTCACAGCCGAAGAAAGCCCTTCTTCAAAGAGCATTTGAATGGGTTCCGCCGATAAGTCCCACCCCAATCTGTGTATCAGCATGGTGAACTCAGTCCAGTACTCACGTACAGATCGGCTCCCTGTTTGCAAGCCATTAACTGTCTGCGCACCACTCCCTTTTCAATATCGCTGGAAAACATCAGATCCATGGCGCGAAAGAACTTCATCGTGTCTTTTAAGACGTCACTATTCGCTGCCATCAGGGGTCTAACCCAGTCTCGCCCCCTTTTCAAGATGCCCAATCACAAAAGCCACTCGTGATTCCTCATCAGGGAAATCATCAAACTGCAGATTGAGGGCATATTGCATTTCTGTCCGAAAGCTATGATAGTCTTTGGGCTCCCCCCCAAATTTTTGCACCAATCCTGGTACCTTTCTGGCGAGCTGGGTGGCTTTCTCCCTTTTGTCTGCATCTTGAGCCCTCCTCTCCTCCAGCCTCGCCGCCTGCAGCGCCAGCTGGACCTCTAACACCCGGTACCTTTCTTCCAGGCTTGGACCCGCTCCAGCCCCTGCTTCTCCGGTTCCTGCTGGGTTGCTCATTATTATGCCGTCTCCTGCACAAGCTGCGTTCAAAGACTGTCGGAATGCTGTGATGGGATTATGAGCTGCTTGTGCGTAAAATCGTATTCCCTCAGAGTTTGTTCAAGTCCACAAACCTCTGTCTGTGACTGAGCCCCTCTGACATGGCTCCTCTTAGTCACTAGAAGATTCCGACAGTGGTTGCTTTCGTAATCGCTTCCAACATAAAAGCTCCTTAACGGAAACACGTCTTCTGGACTCTCTGCGTGACAGTTTCCGGCGAGGAGTGGGTGTCGCTACAGGAGGTCCGGAAACCTCACCACTGTTTTCGCTGGAAGTATCTCTGAGCCATCCCCCCCAGCTCCCTTCCCTCAGTTCAGCTTGTCTCCCCCTGCTGGTTTCCTCTTCCGCTGCTGAGTCTCTTCCAACCTGTCTGAGCCCTTTCACCTCCCTCAGTTCAGCTTCTCTCCCCTTGCTGGTTCCCTCTTCAGCTGCTGAATCTCTTCCAACCTGTCTGAGTCCTTTCACCTCCCTCAGTTCAGCTTCTCTCCCCTTGCTGGTTCCCTCTTCAGCTGCTGAATCTCTTCCAACCTGTCTGAGTCCTTTCACCTCCCTTCCTTCCGATGGCAGTTCCCTGACACTCAGCTTCAGGATCTGTCCTTCCAGTGAGCACTCAGGGCTGATTTCCTTCAGAATGGATACGTTTGATCTTCTTGCAGTCCATGGGACTCTCAAGAGTCTCCTCCAGCACCATAATTCAAAAGCATCAATTCTTTGGTGATCAGCCTTCTTTGTGGTCCAGCTCTCACTTCCATACATCACTACTGGGAAAACCATGGCTTTAACTATACGGACCTTTGTTGGCAAGGTGATGTCTCTGCTTTTTAAGATGCTGTCTAGGTTTGTCATCGCCTTTCTCCCAAGAAGCAGGCGTCTTTTAATTTCATGACTGCTGTCACCTTCATGGATCACTGCCATGCTATGGCGAAGGGGCTTGAATAACTCAGAGAAGCTATGAGCTATGCCGTGCAGGGCCACCCAAGATGGACAGGTCATAGTGGAGAGTTTTGACCAAACGTGATCCACCTGGAGCAGGAACTGGCAAGCCACTCCAGTATCCCTGCCAAGAAAACTCCATGGACAGAAGCCATATATAAATTTGGTTAAATATAATAAATAAATGATTGTGGGGGAGGAAATGCACTTATTCAGATTCATTTCTGATGGCAGAGCCATTCAACATCCCCACACCCTCCCACACTAGGCTGGGAGGGGATAGGGTTGGATTAGGTGGAACAGACCCTTCATCCTGCTCTCTCAGCTCAGCCAACTTCCCACTGGCCATGGAACATGCAGGTGGGCAGACTGCTGGTAGTACTTCTGTGGTGGAAGCCAGCAGAGAGCCTCAAAATGGAGTGTTTCATGTATATGGAGGGGCTGGGGCTGAGACAGTCTGTGATCTGTTTGTTTGTGATTTAAAAAAACCCCACAGTTAGTTCTGTACTATATAGACATAGCCTTCTATGTTACAACATTTAATTTAATATTTTTTTTTTACAAAAAAACACCACTGCCTTTAGTGGAAGCAGTTAGTCCTACGGTGCTGTAATTAATCATTTCCAAAACAAAATCAAGAACCTACTCAACTTCTTTCTTAGGGAGAGGTTTTGAATGTTGCCCTCTGAGAGCTCTCAGCTGGCCTATTCCATTTGTGTATTGCATATGTCTGTCTACCCAGGAAATGTCTAATATTATGCCACTGGTATTAATACAAATGAGGTCTTTAAAATTTGAATAGCTTTAGTGAAAAAAGGATATTAAACACAGTTAGTCTGTATCAAACAGGACTCATTTCCCTCCCGCCCGGAATGAATAATTCTTTTTGAGGGCAGATTGGCGGAAGGAATTAAAGGTGTTCTTTGGTTAAACTTTGCCTTTCCAAATATGGGAACTCAAAATGTCCATTTCCTGGGATCAAACCATAGGATGCTTGGTTTTTCTTTCTTTTCAAGAGTAGACACTGGCCTAGGATGGGGCTAAAATGACCAAAACCATTCTCTTGAAGGGAAGGAACATCTGTTGGAGCGTCAAGCAGTTCATTTATTTTTAAAAGAGCCTTTCCAGGCTCTAAAGTCATTTGTGAGGAGAAGCACAGTCTGCCAGGCTCAAGCAGAGAAGGGAAGCAAACGAAGAGATACTTTAATGTGCAACAAGAACCCAATGAACAGAGGAGCAGGAGGATCCTTCCTGACAAGAAGGTGAGAGATGAACAATTCAGGGTCTGCTCCAAATTCCTTCAAGGGACCAACATTCTCACTTCAAATGTTAGCAATATTTAAATGCAGGGGTAATAGGAAAATAGCACAAATGTGTAAGTGTTTGCAACTCTGTAGTATATCCCCTCTCTGTTGCTATAATCAGGAGCCCTTCTGCCCTTTCACACAACTCCAGGATTCTGCTCTGCTTGGGGTGCAGCATTTGCAGTCTTCGACATTTACAATCCTGTTGCATTTGTCTCTCAGACAACAAGGGGGAAAAATACCACTTCGTTTTGCAAATTTGACATGAAATTGATTCAGCAGAGTAAGTAACATGGTGCGTTAGGATATTAGAAATATAGTTGAAAGAAAATTTAAAGCATTACAGGATTAGGACTTATCTCCTTGACTTCGTTTGCTATAATTCAATTAAAATTAACAGTTTCACACTGATTAGCGATAGTGCCTTTTTCATGCTATTGTTTTCCTGTGTGGAATAGTGTCGATTCGGTAATGAGGTTCATCTTTTCCTATGAATATTGACAAAGATGACATTTTGGTGTGCGTGAACAGCAGCTGCTGTTTAAAATTGCCCATCTGAACCCTTTCTTAATACAAAAAGTCCCTCAGACCTTAATGGCAATGTGATTAAGCTTTATTACATTCCCTGTTGCATTTTAACAAAGGATTCCTTCCAAAAATAATTTATCTGAGTGGACTGGAAATGGACACGAAATGCTATTAGTATTCACACTCATCATTTTTCTCTCTCTCTGCACATGAACATGGCCCAGGCCCGTCTTACCCAGTGAGGCTAGTGGCGTGGGGTGTGGGGTGTGGGTCGCCAAGTTCTGGAGGGCGCCAGGTGAGAGTCTGGGGAGCACTGAACGAGCGCGCTGAGTGAGTGAGGGTGCGTGTGCTGCTCCCGCTGAGTATTGGCTTGGTTTTTTCCCTTCTAGCCTGCAGGTGCTGAATTCTGTGGGGTGCCAGAAGGCTAAAAGGGAAAAAACCGAGCCGACGCTTGGTGGGAACAGCGCAAGTGCCCTCGCTCGCTCAATGCAGGCCCGCTCGCTCGGTGTGCTGCCTGCCATGGCCACCATGGTACGAAGCTGCCAGATGAGCCAGGAGTTGCTGCGTCCAGCCTCCGCCTCTTCCCCGCCAGAGGAGCCACCCTCCAGCCGCTGCCCGCCTCCTCCAGCCCTAAAAAAAGGTCAACTCTGGGAAAGGGGGGTGTGCTGGAGGGATCTTTGCACCACAGTGCCGAATATGCTTAAGACGGCCCTGGCATTGCCTGAAGGGGAACATGCACTGAATGGGTATGTGTCATAGGTGCCAACTCCCTTGGGCTCTGGGTGCCCAAGCACCCACAAAATTCCCCATGAAGGAACTGCGCACCCACAAATTTTGGTGCCATGGCCATGCATGCTGCATGAAACCTATGGCCCTGGGCACCCATGGTCGTGGGGCCAAGTTGGCACGCCTGGTATGTGGAGAAATGTTTCTGGCTCCACCCTCAACATCCACACATTGAGCATGGATGTCAGTAAGGAATAGCCTGCACATGTATACATCTGCAAATGCAGGCCTTCCCTGCATTCCCAACCCATTTGTTAAGGGTGCAGTTTCTGTAAATTCTCATGTGATCTGACTAGATGTATGCTTCCCAGACTAATGTTCATATTGGAATGTAATTATCCTTCAGTTTTTGCATTTCTCCACATTTTGGCAAGTAGTTCTCAGCACACGCACACTAATAATAATAATAATAATAATAATAATAATAATAATAATTCTATTATTTCTATCCCACCCATTTGACTGGGTTGCCCCAGCAACTCTGGACGGCTTCCAATAAAGTAGCAAAATGCATTTTTTTGAAACATATATTTTAGGATAAACTGTTCTTACGAATGTATCCATCAAGATACAAAAACATATTTAAATGGGTATTTGGTTATAAAACATGGAATTGAATAATATCTATAAATACATTTCTAAGTGCTAATTTCTGTACAGAATTTTAAAATTGCAGATAATGCAAAAAGGGATTGAAAAAATTCATGAATGAACACATGGACAATTCGCAACTGACAAGGTGAAACCTTTTCCAAAGCCAAAAGTCCACTAAACAAAGGCTTAAGGTTTGTACCTTACATTAGACTAGGTTAAATAAATCTGAGTATTTTGGGAAGGGAAATTATTTGCAGGAAGTGGGGAGAATAAAGGAGTAATTACAGTGTTTAAGATTAATGTCTGTAGTGTGAGGTAGGGAGTGGGATTAATTCAGTTCCTTTTGTTCCTGATTATGGGTTGGTAATGTGTGTGGGGTTTTTTTATTGCCTACTTTTTTGTGAGTTTGTCAGAGAATTTCTAAAATGAAAAGTTTTTTATCTAAGCCTCTGGATATTATGTCTCCCAATCTCAGGCACAACAGAGGCTGATTATGATTACTCACCAGTGTGATATACTCTGCACATGAGCAGAGATTATTGTTTCACATTTTCAGGAGTGAGCCTGATATGTTCTGTGGCTCTACCAAATGAAAATGTTTCCTGCTTCCACAGTGTTTGTGTTATCATCCACACTGCCTCTGAATGGTCACCATCAGGCCTTAGCATCACTTTCACTGTGTGTACACCCTGCATTTCATTTTCATCTAACCATTCTGCTTCCATTTCCCCTCATCCCCGAAAGCCATATATATGTGTATCTGTAACATACGGTAGCACTTGATGCATCTGACTGAGAGGTTTCTAGCCCATGAAAGCTTGTGTCATAATAAAAAATGTCATTTTTTTAAAGTTGCACAATGCAACAAGTGGGTATCAGAAAGGGCAACTTGAACATAGGAAGTCTGAAAACCACTGCTCCAGAATCTAGCCCACCAGTGCTTCTGGTGTTTTCCTTAGTAAGAAACAGTCTGTCCCATAAAATATACAAAAATAAAATAATCTATGCTGAGATAGCTTTGTGTTTTGACAGTTCAGTGATTTTAAGAAGGAGAGAGAGAGTGTGTGTCTTTTGTTCTTCTGTCCTGCAAGCTGGTAAATCAAAAAGCAGTTGTCTTAGAAACATGTTGCTCTAGCTATTACCCAGCAGCATGCATTAATGTACCACTGGGAATTGATAGGAAAAATAGATTTAATAAGCATTCAGGGGCATCCAAGTCGGTTGCTACCTGAATAAGTATACATTAGAAACAGAGGTTTTAGCTTCTTCTTTTTTTTTGCCCTGTTGATACAATATGGTATATAAAGAGAGATCTATTATTTCAGACATCCCTGGAGTTATTCAGAGCTATATTTCTGAATACATACAAGATATAGGTAGGGGCTAATTAGCAAACATCACACTGGAACATGACAAGCAAGCCGCAATTGTGAGAGGCACATAATTTGCTATGTGCACTCGTAGTGTATGCATGTGTCATGCTTCGCACACTTGTTGGCAAACACATTTTATAAGCTGCAACTGGCACAAGGATTTAACAAGCCCCAACACTGCACCAGGTTGACTGTCACTGGGGCTGACAAATACATGCATCTCCCAGGGTGCTTGAGAATGGTGCCTCTTAGCAGTGCCCTCAATGGAACATCAGAAATACGGAGCACCTGTTGAGATGGAAGTGCCTTGTGTGTGCCAAAGTTTTGTGGCATGGAGGATAAAGGGCAAGGGAGCCAGCAGTGAAGGGAGGGGGGAGAGACCTTGAGAAGAGCAGAGATAAAACACTAAAGCCTGGCTACTCAGTGATACACACTACAGGTTGACAGGGCTCATCAGATCTGCTGTCCTGAGCTGAAGAATCCCATGCACAGGAAGTATCTTAGATGCTTAAAGGAAGTGTGCCTGGATTGTGTATACTGATTTCAATGGATGAGGGTCAGAATTAAGTGTATTCAGGGCAGGAACAACTTATTGTTACCTAACATGACCTAGATATTGCTTGAAGATTATAACGAGGTGCCATGATGTTCTTATTATAATGGTTTGTATGGTTTGAATAGATTATAGTTTTAATTCTATCCATATTAAATTGTTTTTTAATGATTGGTTTTTCTATGTTTTATGTATTTTTTACTTTTTAAAAATGGCAGGTTAATGTAGAAACTAGACCGAATGGACTTATGAATGAACATACTTGAAAATGTTGTAGACAAAAAATAAACTGATCCACCCATAACTGAGAGAATATTGAATGACATTGTTTGACTGATGGAACTGGATTTGTTGTAAAACTAACTTTAAAGAAACTTTAATACAAAAGCTATTTACACCTTGAATAACCTCCTCCTTCACTTCTTTTTTCTTTGCACAAATATCTGATCTCAGTATTTTAATTTCCTCTGGGCTGACTTTGAGGAAGAAATTTAGCTGAAACAGATGGTTGTCAGCAAACCAATGCCTGCAAAACACAATTGAGAATTAGCGTATGAAAACTAAAAATTGGCACCATCTAGTTTCTCTTGATATAATTGTCAAAAGAAATCTGGACTGGATTTTTTTTTGGATATAGTCTTTTCAATATTTAAATAATTAACACTTTAAATATACAAAACAAAATTTGTTCATGGTGTGTGGGAAACCTTGTACACATCACAGAAAGACTGCTATTTAGATTGGGCAGATGTGATCTTCCAAAAATGTCAGCTCTCAGATTACTCTCTAGTACAGGCTACAGCAGTCAGTTGCCTATATGAAAGCTTTCCCATCCAATATGGATTAACTAAATAACAAAATTTTATGTAGGAAGTTGTTTCTAAATTGTCTGCTCACTTAATGTGCTCCCCATTTCTTTGAAGCATCAGATAGTGATACCAGCAAATTAAGGTGTCCCATTATAACCTGTGCATAATAAATTAATTCACAGAACAGTTTTTATTATAACAATCCATAAGTGCATGCCCACAAAAGAGCCCTCCCTAAATAGGGGGAGATTGGGTTGCAGTGGTTCTCAACCTGTGGGTCCCCAGATGTTGTTGGACTACAACTCCCATCATCCCTGAGCTCTGGCCTTGCTAGCTAGGGGTGATGGGAGTTGTAGTTCAACAACATCTGGAGACCCACAGGTTGAGAAAGGCTGGTAGAGGAAGCATGACACAGAACCTTCTTCCTCTGATGTGCAACCAAACTGCAATGTTTGCTTTGAAGAATAGGTTGGTGGTGCAACCTAGCCCTCTTGAACTAGTCAGCAGAGGGTTTTGTGCCAGGCCAAGGGTAAGCAAGTGCCAGACTTCTCCTTAGGTAGCAACATCCCCTGTCTTATGCACTGAAGATTAGTGCTGATGTCCTCCACTGCCAGGGATCCCTTGTGGTGACATAGTTTTGGAGCCTTTGGAGCTGGTGGAGAAGTTCTGAATATTCACACTCTCTGTGAAGATAGAGGATCTCCACCAACCTTGCCAGACCACCAGTGCCCTATTTTGCACCTTCAAGTCTGGAACACAGGAAGCTGCCTTATACTGATTGGAACCCTTGGTCCAGGTATTCTGGCAGCAGTAGCTATTCAGCAATTCAGGCAGAGGTCTCTCCCAAGCCTACACTGCCCAGAAATTCCAGGGATTGAACATATAAACATAAAATACTAGATACATTAGCACTGAGTGTCCCATCCATGTCTGGCATCAAGGTACTCATTTATTATTATTATGGCATCCTGCCCAGCAGGACATTTCTTCCCTATAACTGGGCATCATGGAGATCTGTAAACAGTTCTCTTCTTGGATACACCAGCAGGCTGATCCATGAATTTTTGTTCTTCAGTCTTGCTCTCCCCCTTGGATGCCAATGGAAAAAGACTTATCCCTTTTCATTGCCTCCCTCCCTGTTTCCCTGTCTTTCAACCATCTTTGCTATTTTATTTTGGATTAGTCAGGGTTCTTGCAAGGAACACAAGCTGGAGAAGCTTCATCTGTTTCTGGAAAAACTTTGGAGTAGTGATTGGATTTCGTTCCTTGCAAATACAGGAGACAGTGAAGTTCATTGTACCAGCACTTTCTCTTTTGCCTTTCTTTTCCTCATCTCCATCTTTTA